GAGGGAGTGTCGGCGGTGGTGTCGGGCCTTCTCATGCGAGCGCTGGTTGTCCCGCTGGTGTTGGTCGGGGCGGCCGCTGGAGGGGTTGGGTTAGCGGCGGCGGCGGCGGCGGCGACGACGGCGACGGGCGGCCCGGGGGGGGAGAAAAAGACGAGGTGAGCACCATCATCATCATCATCATCATCATCATTATCCCGTCGATTCAATATTGGTAGGTATAAGAATACGATGCTGGGGTGGAAAGACGTCAAGACGTCGGTTCCGTGTGCAGGAGAAAAGGGATTGAGCAGGGTCTGGCGCCGTGTGTGTAACAGAAGACCCGCTGGTCGGGATATGGACATGGGCATACGATTGCAAACACTACCCCTTCCATATTTTGGGGCACGGGAGCAGGAATATGCCGTAGATTGCAAAAGACATCTCACACCCCCGGAACAACCGATTTTCAGAGCTCGAATACCGTATATGACACAAGATATCACACCCCCTGGACCGATTTTGAGAGCTCGATTTCTCGGCAGGAGAAGCAGTGACGGCGTCGAGAATGGCGGAAGGTGTTGGAACCGTCTCGTCGAGAGCTTTCCGAAAACGTATCATTTGAACTCGGCATGCTCTCGGTCGTGGAGTAATCTGGCTTTGAAAATCGGTTCAGGGGGTGTGGTGTCTTATGGAACCTACGATAAATCTCGACAAACGTATGCACACCTCTTGCATATTGGTGGGAAATTGGAGCGGAAGAAAGGCTGGGCGCGCTCGACTTGGAGGACACGTAGTACGCAGGTTGGGTTGGATGACCTACACACTTGTTGGTGGCTCGTACGCGGTTTTTGCTTCAAGATTGCATCCACCTCCGTCTTGAGAATACACGTTTCTTGCTGCTCTCCTGCCTCTCTCTCTTTTTTTTTCCCAGACTACCGGCAGCAGTAGCAGCAGCAGCAGTAGCAGCAGCGGCAACCGCACGAGAGTACCTCTTGCGGCTCGGCGCCATCGCGGCCGCCGCCGCCGCCGGCCGACGAGAAGAAGGAGAACGTTCTCGGGAACCTTCTCCGGACCGACGACGACCGTCCAGGGAAAATGAAGGAGAAGAACGGTACTCGGCGGGGTTCTCGGTGGACGTGACGCCCATCCAGGTCCACCTCGACCGCCTCCGGAAGGAGCGCCGCGGAGACCGGCCGTCTGCGTCCAGGAGCGCACGGCGGGGAGCCACTGCGGTGGTCGGGCAACGAGCGCCGCCGGTGGGGGAAGACGCGCTCGGGTCTCTCGAGAGGGCTGGGGACATGAATTCGCACGAAACCGGTGGTGGTGGCGGTGGCGGTGGCGGCGGTGGGGACGCCGCTGCCTCTGCCACGGCTGTGGTCACCGTCTTGCACCTTGTCGTGAAGGCGGCCGCTTGTGCGGTGCTCGAGACCCTGCCGTCGTCCCCCTCGTCCGCTCGAGGCACCACGGCCGGTGCTACTGCCCCTTCTTCTTCTTCTTCTGCCGCCGCTGCTGCTGCTGCTGCTGCCGCTGCTGCCGTGGACGGCGGAGGTGAAGGCGGCGGCGGCGAGGACGGCGGAGGTAGGAGAGGCGACACGACGCTGATCGCTTGCCTGTGGAGAAAAACCAGCCGCTCAGCAACAACAACGGCGACTGCGGCGGCGGCGGCTCTCGTCGCACCGCCGGGAGGAGGGGGAGGAGGAGGGGGCGCCGCAGAATCACACGCAGTTATTCGGACTACTGCCACGACTGGCCGGCACGCACCCCCCCACGGCCGCGATGAGAAGCGCCACAGGTCGGCAGGAGCAAGGGCCGGCGGAACCTTGGTGGTGGTGGAGGGAGCCGAGCGGAAGACGGCGAGCTCCATCGCGGCCGAGGTTGCGGCGGCGGTTGCGGCGGCGGCGGCGGCTGCCGCGGGGGGGTCCGGGGGCCCGGGATCCGCAGCTCCCGGGATCAAACCCT